AGCTGTAGAGGACTACAAATCCAAGCAATAAACCATACACCAATGCATAATAATAGGAAGCTACATACTCTGTGCTGATCCGGGGTGACTGTCTGATGTCTCCAGCAGAGGGTCTGTGCAGAAGACTGTGCAGGGTCTCGGGAGGGCTGCGAAGAGTCTCAGGAGTAGGAGTGTGGAAGTTTTTAGAAGGGCTTTGTAGAGTGTAAGGAGGGCTGTGTGGGGTCTCAGGAGAGCTGTGTGTTGGTGTGGTGCAATTGGAAAAAACAGTGCATGCAATTGCACCTCAGTGGACCCCAGTGGCATTGCGGTAGCATGAATTACACTGTGTGGGGAAGGTCAATTAAGTGGTAAAGTGTGTTCATGTCATGGGACCGTGAGATGAAGGTAGGTGGATGGTGTTGGATGGTGTAAATGTTGAAAATGTATTTTCTTTAACTACCCCCCAGTCGTGGTAAAAAAACGGCCGGCCGGGAATTTTCTAGATCTGAGCCGGTGTCTTTAGATATCTGCTCAGCCACAACCACTCGCTGGAGCGGGAAAATTCCTAAATTTAAAAACAAGCAGTGATGCCTGTTAACATACAAGCAATCCGCTGGCTATAGAGCTGGCAGATCGCTTGTATGGGGTGCCGATCATGTGTGTGTCCCCTCCCTCCCACTGTCTCGCTGGTCCCGGGGCCATGCTGTCCCCAGTGCGAGCCTGAGACCAGCATAGTGGCTCTGTGACAAGGAATCAGAGGGAGATCTCCCTCCGGTCCTCTGTCCGCTGTCAGAATACGGAAGTGATGTATAGTTCATCACTTCCGCCTTCTCGTGTCACTCTCCAGCATCAGAAGCTGGAGAGAAGCCGATAAAGCAGATCTCTGTTTCATCAGCTTCTCTGGGGGTCCTAGATGACATTAGGGGTCTTGGAGACCCCTGATGTCTCCATAAAGAGGACGTGTCGCATATATTTGCTATCACGTATGGGGTTTTCTTAGCCCCCTATGTGATAGCAATAAACTTAAGTGAAAACAAATTAGAAAAGAAAAGTAAAGGTTCCCAAAAAAATATTTAAAGTCGCACATAAAAAATAATGTAAAAAAACAAACTTTTTTTAAAGTCCCCACCCATACATATACGCATGCAAACATGTGTCGGGTGTGCATCTGTGCGAAATCGACGATTGCGCCCATGCGCGTGGGTGCGCGCATTTTGAAAGCTTTATGTTTGATGTCTATTTACCCGACGTGACCCCGTCTTTTATATTTTACCAAAAAATTGGGCAATAATAATAATTGTATTATAACATAATGTAAAAAAAAAAAAAAAGTCCCAAAATGTTTGGTAATTCTTTCCTTAATATAATAAAAAATAAAAACCCCAGTGGTGATTAAATACCACCAAAAGAAAGCTCTGTATGTCCCCAAAAAATGATATAAAATTCATTTCAGTACAGCGTTGTATGACGGAATAAACGTCAGTCAAAGTACCGCAGCGCTGAATACTGAAAAATGGCCGGCACAGGAAGGGGGTGAAACACCTCGGTCAGCAAATGGTTAAACTTGATTTAGTGGGTATGGAATGCGCTGTGACATCTTGATGGGCAAACGGTCATATTGTGTTTTTATTTTTTTTTGTAGGGTGTGTACTAAAGTTAGGGTTAGAAGTTAAAAGTGAAGAATTATTTTTTATTACTGAATAAAATGTTGTAAAATGAAATGTCTGTGGGCAAGATTATGCGGCATAAATGCAGCATGTGTGAGTGCTGTGACATATGGAAATAGTGGTTGATGTAGAAACCTTTTAGTCCTCATTCACACTGCATTAGGTTGGGCCATCCACATCAGTACGGTGTGCACGGCCACATTGGTCGTTCCCGGGACAGGTGCTGCGTGTGATTGCACGCAGCAGCCTGTTGTTCCCTGTGGGAGGATGCGGCCGTAAGCTGTCATATGCACACCCGTACTCAAACGCAGACAGGATGGATCCCGGACACCCAGATCTGCACGGATGTGCAGTTTGGCTGTGCGCATGACAGCGTATGGCTGCGTCCTCCCATAGAAAACAACAGGCTGCTACACACAGCACCTCTCCCTCCCAGGAACGGCCCGATACGGGCATGCACTCCGCATGAACGTACGCCCCGAGTTAACGCAGTGTGAATGAGGCCTTATAGGAGTGCTATGTGAGTTTTCAGTATAGTGCTGGTGTACATATCCCCCCCCCCCCATCCTGCTCTGTTATATTGAGGCACTGTGGTGTGCTGAAGGTGTTGAGACACACACACTATCTCTCTCATCACCCCTCTCCCCCAGCTCGGGAGCAGGAGGCAGATCAAAGACACATGACAAATGATCCTGTATACAGGACACACAGCAGTAAGGAGGGCTTACTATGAGATCTGGATATGGAACATTGCAGAGCTGACAGCCAGGAACACAGCGCGACCTCATCAGCTCGAAAGTCGGCACTCAGAGAAGAGTTGGAGAGGGGTAACAATTACACAGGACGGAGCTCCTTCACTCTGATCTATCAGGAAGTTTGTATGCTGCGTCTGTGCTCTGATTTTTCCACCCTGCTCACCTCACCAGTGCCGCAGGCTGCTTGTGTTGCCTGTATACTAATGGTGGCCCTGGGCATGCACCTAACTCCAGGAGCAGGCAAATGGTACTATACGTATAAGTCAATAGGGAAAAAATCATAGCTTGAAGCCGGGGCCCCCCGGCTAGTCGGGGGCCCCTTACAATGGTACTGGTCGTACCCTCCTGACGGCGGCCCTGATGCTGGTAAATCCCAGTGTCTGGACATCACACTTCCCCCAGGAGAGAAGGAAGCCCTTAGTGTTAACTTTCCATTTGCATGGGCTACAGAGGCCCTTAAATATCTAGGGGTAAATATTTCTACGGATCTGGGGGAAATGATATCAGCTTAATTATGTACCTTTGTTGGAGGTTACACAACTCCACCTGGAGAAATTGAAAAGGAAAAAACATTCTTGGCTTGGGAGGATGGCACTATTTAAGATGGACATCCTCCCAAGATTCCTCTATATTTTTCAGACGGTACCAACAAAGATACCTCGACAATTTTTTCGTAAATTACGTATGTCTTTATTACGTTATATATGGGGTAAGATGGGAGTGCGGTTAAGATATGATATATTAACCAAAAGAAAATCGAATGGTGGGGGAGGACTCTCATATATGGAGGTATATCATAAGGCTGTAGCATTAGGTAGAATGTTAGACTGGTTCTCTCCAGCTTGTCAGAAACTCTGGGTAACATTTGAGCAGGCGGAGGTGTCAGTACCCTTGACATCTATACCATGGATCCCACCTATTAAGAGACACTATTGTTGCACTAAGTCTGCAATAATTTCTTCAATGTTAAACATATGAGATGCAATGGTAAAGAAGTATAGGTTATCAACATATGTAGGTCCACTGACACCTATATTGGGGAATCCAGATTTTCCACAAGGCCTGGAGAGCAGAAGGGTTTTGAAGTGGGAGACTATAAAGCTCTCCCCTATGATACAAGCCATTAATGAAACAGGTTTATATCCATTATCAGACCTACTTCCAGTGAATACATCGAGCAGAGGCAGATGGTCAGAATATATACAACTTACATTTTTATACAGTTCTCAGCTCTCAAGATAGGGTAGTTAGAGATCTGACCCCATTTGAAGATATACACTGAGTGGCCAGATTATTATGACCACCTGACGTTTGTAGGCAAATTAGCTATAATTAGCTATAATTTTGCGCTGAAGTTGCTAGAGGGCCAGACCATTATAAATAGAAAAGCAGGTTGTTTACCACGACAGTAGAAGTGATTATTTTCTGACGATATGGGTGAACAACGCGATTTAACAGCCTTTGAACGTGGGATGATTGTTGGCGCTCGGAGCCATGGAGCGAGTATCAGCAAAACAGCAGAATTTGTTAAATGTTCAAGAGCAGCTGTTGTTAAAGTGTTTAAAGACTGGACTGTCAGCCGAAAATCTGGGTCTGAACGTGCGAATTGTGGCCGTCAGCGACTAGTCAATGTTAGGGCAGAACGGAGAGTGGCAAAACTGGTACAAGACAACAGAAGGGCAACAGTGCAGTGTCAGATTCCTCGCATCACCTTTCAACATCTCGTGGAGTCACGAGGCGGCCCAACTAAGTCATCTTGTGGAGTCATCTCGTGGCCCAACGAAGTACTGATGTGGTGGTCATAATAATCTGGCCACTCAGTGTATGTTTGAACAGGGCAGGAGGTAAACAAATGGTATCCTAAGTTTATAATATCTTACTATCTCAGATGTATCCGACACTCCTTTTTATACTAAAGCTTGGGAGCGAGAGCTGGGCCATGTAGTAACTGAAGAGGAATGGAACCAGGTTTCTAATTTAACCTTCAAATCAAGTATGGCAGTAATAAACACAGGAGAGAAATGTCAAAATACTGACCAGATGGTATACATGCCCAATAACATTATATAAGATGAACTCTCAAAGCTCTACATTGTGCTGGAGATGTGGCAGGGAGGAGGGGACAATGCTACATACATGTGGTCATGCCAACAGATAAGAACTTATTGGACATCTATCTTTGATATAGGACGCCACTTAACGGGGACACCAGAGGTGGCATTACTGTCACCGCATAATGGCTCGGTAAGAATGTTAAAAAAAATAGCAAATCAGAGGTCCAGAAATATATATACGAAATATAAGTAAGGATGTAAGAACTAAATATCCTGTCACCATCCGGGAAATACTGTGGAAAACCTGTCACTTGTGCTTCGGTATGGCTTGGTTTTTTTTTGTTTTAGTTAGTTGGAGGGTGGAGGGATGGAAAGATATAAGGATGTTTGATTGTTTAATAATAATGTTGATAATTGAAGTTGTTTATAAGTTATGGAATTGTGTGTAAGATGTTGACATTTTTTAATATATTCTTGTGGAATTGAAAGAAAATAAATATTCTTTAAAAAAAATATATATTTTTTGTTTTGCTTTTGTCTTGCAGCATGTCAGCCGTTTATAAATGTTTTCCAAGCAATGCAGCACATTTACACATCTGGAATTTAGTAAGTATATTTTACATACATGATATTAATTAGTAGTAGTAGTAGTATCTGAGATAAATGATATATTAATAGTACTAGTTATCTTTGTATTTGGCTATTTAGTTAAATTACTTTCCTTTCCACTTACACCAGCAGAGATCTGTGATTTTCTTTAACTGGCAAATAATTACATTTCTGCCTTGTAACTTTGGCAACTATATCCAGTTTGTAAATGGTAATTCCTAGAATTCTCAACCGCTGCTTATGAAAAATTGCTGCGGTCAATCCACTGTGTCTGCATGAGGGTAAGGTCAAATTACAGACAGATTGTTCTTGGCATCACCAGCAATGTCCTCTGGACATTGGGGATATAAACTGTGTGCCCAATTATTAGGCAAGTGAGTATTTTGACCAAGCTCTTTTATGCATATTGTCCAACTGCAAGCTCTATAATCTTGAAGGCGTATTGGATTTAAGCATATCAGGTGATGTGTATTTGTGTAATGAGGGAAGGGGTGGCCTTAGGAGATCAACACTCTGTATCAAGGTGTGCATAATTATCAGGCAGCTTCTTTTCCTCAGGCAAAATGGGCCAAAGAAGGGATTTAACTGACTGAAAAGTCAAAAATTTTAAAAAGTCTTTCAGAGGGATGCAGCACTTTTGAAATTACTAAGATATTGGGGCGTGATCACAGAATCATCATAAGTTTTGTTGCAAATAGTGAACAGGGTCGCAAGAAACGTGTTGAGAAAAGAGAAGCAAATTAACTGACACATAAGTTAAAACGTCAAGACTGGGCCAAGAAATATCGGAAGACAGATTTTTCAAAGGTTTTATTGACTGATGAGATGAGAGTGACTCTTGAAGGACCAGATGGATGGGCCCGTGGCTGGATCAGCACCGGGCACAGAGCTCCACTTCGATTTAGACGCCAGCAAGGTGGAGGTGGGGTACTCGTATGGACTGGTATTATTAAAGATGAACTAGTTGGACCTTTTCAGGTTGAAGATGAACTCAAAATCAACTCTCAAACCCCCCCCCCCCCCCCCCCCCTTCCCCCCCCATGTGGG